GCCATAATCATCAGTATTAAAACAATTAAAGACCTGAAATATTTCAGATGGTGTGCAATGATGGTGTGCAATGAATCTGAAATATATGAAAGTTTCATTTTATCATTACATTATGGAAAATAATGACCTTTTATCACAATATGCTAATTTTTTGAGAAGGACCTGTACATCAACAAGCATAAATGTGGTATTGCTTCGGAGTGTTGGGGTGTTTTTTATTTGTACAAGTACTTGAGGCTGATATTGGGCCCGATATGATACCAGTATCGGCACCTCATGGGGCCCCATATGATGCCAGTATTGGTATCGGGACACCACCAATTATTTTTGCAAGCTGTACATGTTATATATTTTTAATAAATGACTTAAATTATTTTAATGGAATGTTTTCATTGATGTAATTTAAGCCTTTAATTTTCTTCTACCAGGATATCTTGTAGCAAATATGCAATAAAATAATTGCAATGTAAATAAGTTTTTACCCTTTTCTTTGCAGGAACCGTTTAAATTGTATCTACTTTGGTTCAGATGTCTTTAAACCTGAGGGCTATTTAGCGTACAGTGCTCCTGGCAAAGTTCAGGTGAGTCACAATTTCAAGAAATGTCTTTAAATTTTTCTAAACTGAAGCTGCTTTCATCAAAGAAAGCTTTGGACGGCTTGTGTTACACATATTTTTAAAGAATCAGAGTGGCATGCTCAGACAGACTTGGAAACTCTTAGCTGTGAGTTTCCAGATTAAAAAAAAAAGCTTTTTCAGTGTTCTTTATGAACAGTAAATGCATAAAGCCTGTTTTTAAAGGAGTATCTCTATCAAAAATATATCTGCACACCTATCAAAAATCAGGGTACATTTCGTGTATTCAATGGGTGGCCTTTTGTTCTGACTGAAATTTGTTGACAATGTCAGAAATTAAAGATCAAAATATTTCTCGGCTCTTGTAGCAGTAAGGCGAGGTGTGTGCATCCTCTGAAGCTAGATTTGTTTTAATTGACAAATTTTCTTCTTGTATTCTTTCATTCTTGCTTGTCCTCTGATTTGTGCTCATGTTTGTCTCTGAAGGGTCGACTGGTGTATGGAAGCTACGGTCGCCAGGAAGATTTGGAGTTTGTACAGAAGAGCGTTAATCTGACTGGTGCTGTGCTGCTGCTTCGTGCCGGAAAGATCAGTTTTGCACAACAGGTATATGGTTTTCAGGGTTTATGTTTTGAGGACAAAACAGGATTGTACTGAACACGGAAGAGAACGTACTGCTGGCATGACAATACAACACAAGGAAATGTTTTTTTTTTTTATTAATGGTGTTGGTCAAGGAACCAAAAGCTTGTTTTGTGTTTTTAATTATGCTCGTTTAGGTGGACAATGCTGCCAAAAAGGGAGCCTCTGCTGTTTTAATCTACCCTGATCCCCAGGATTACAAACTCGTTGCAACCACAGAACTTTATGGACATGTGAGTTTGTATCATGCAACTCAAATTAACGTAGCAGTCAAGAAGGCTCAGATATGAAAGTATTTCTTTTTAATCTTTTTCTCCAGGTCCACCTGGGCTCAGGCGACCCCTACACCCCTGGATTCCCTTCCTTCAACCACACCCAGTTTGCCCAAACCAAGTCATCTGGTCTTCCTAAAATCCCAGCCCAGACTATCACTGCCAATATAGCTACAACTCTTCTACAGTAAGATGTCTTGCACAACAGAAACAACCTTCTACAGATCGGTGCAACTTAGTTGCCCATGAAACTTGAACCGTTTGCAACATTAAAACTCTCCATTTAACGTTCACAGGAAAATTGGTGGCCCTGACTCAAGCAGTGGCTTTAGAGGTGAGCTCCAGTCTGTGTCCTACAAGCTGGGAGGGGTTGAGAACATCACTGTTGAGGTGAACAACGTGTTGGTCAACAAGGAGCTCCACAACGTGTTTGGAGTGATCAAAGGATTCGTTGATCCTGGTATAGCTAACACCATCTGTGAGGAACTTATTCAGTTCTCCACTGAGTTAGTTTGGTGCTGAGATGATTCTGTATGAAACTGCAGATCGTTATGTTGTGCTGGGAGCGCAGAGAGATGCCTGGGGGAACGGTTACGCCAAGGCCACTGTTGGCACCTCCATTCTGGTGGAGCTGGCCAAGGCATTCAACGAGATGGTGGAGAAGGGTAAGACATTATCTGAAGCTAAGACACTAGTGTGAATGTTTATGAAGCATTCACTCGTGATCCATTTTTCTTCTGTATGTTTTTCGGCATCTTTTTCGTTCCACAACTTTTGTGCTATTTCAACAAATGATAAATCAAAACGTTTAGCTCTTTCAGGAGAAGGGTGATATGACTTTTGGTATTGATGCATCTTTAGCTTTTTGAAAGTGTTTTTAGCCTTTTCTGTCTTTTTTTCCTCAGAAAATGAATTGAGCTCATTTTACATCCTTCAGATATTTAGATCCGTTTACAGCCTTTTACTGCTCCTTTCACATTTTGTTCTGCTTCAGATTCTTTTAGCTTTCTTGCGCAGATTTTACCTTTTTTTTTTTTTTTTTTTTTTTTTTTTTTTCCAGCTACTTTCAGCTGTTTTTTCAGCTGTTTTGTGCTCCTTTCAGGATCTCTAACTACAATATTTTTGTGCTTCTAACTTCTTTCTGCAAGTTTCAGCTTCTTCTGCTATTTCAGCTACTATTTAGCTGTTATGCTAATTTTAGCTTTTTCAGGTAATTCCTAATTTTTTGTGATGATTTCAACATTTTCCCCCTAATTCAGCAAAAATGCGTTCTCACTTCTGGTAATTTAAGCTTTTTTTTTCCTGTCTTTTTTTTTTTTTTAGCTACTTTTCAGCTGTTTGCTAATTTCAGCTTTTTCATGTAGTTTCCACTTCTGCTTCTTTCAGCGTAATTGGGCAAACCTTTTTTTTTTTTTTTTTTTTCCTTCTGCTATGCTTGTTCTAACTTAAACTAGCTTTAACATTTTTTTTAGCTAATTTCAGCTGTTTTCAGATAAATTCAAGTTAGTTTTTGCTACCTTCAGCCTAATTAACTTCTTTATGCTAATTTCAGCTTATGCTCCTTTAAGCTTTTTTTTTTTCCTGCTAGTTTTGGCTTTTTCTGTTCTTTCAGCTACCATTTAGCTCTTGATGCTAATTTGAGCTTTTTCAGCTCATTTAACATTTTTTGAGCTCATTTCAGTTTTTATGCTTCCTTCAGGTAGTTTAAGCTTCCTGCTTTTGCAACTACTTTTCAGCTTTTTTTTTTTTGCAAATTTCATTTTTTTTTTTTTTTTTTTTTTTTTTTTTTTTTGTGTGTGTGCTCATTTCTGCTCATTTAAACCTAATTCAGCACACATGTTCTTTCTGCTTTCTTCTGCAAATTTAGGCTTGTTCTTCCATTTCAGCTACATTTCAGCATGTTTTTATGTTAATTTCAACTATTTTTCAGCAAGTTCACATTCAGCACTGCATTTTTGCATGGAATGCAATTTCTGTAGTTTACTTTAAGACCTGATCAGATCAGTTTGATCAGTTTGGGTCAGGGTGTACCCTAACCCTTCAGCAAGGAAGAGCTTTCGCAGCTGATGAAGTTTTCATTTCTTTAGATGATTTTAGACCCAGAAGAAGCTTGATTTTTGCCAGCTGGAGTGCTGGAGAGTACGGGAGTGTTGGCGCCACAGAGTGGTTGGAGGTCAGTATTGCACATGACTAGTAGATGAAACGGTTTGCTGTGTGATTAAAAGTGCTTAAAATGTCTTGTTTTTCAGGGTTATATGTCGTCAACTGACAGAAGTGTCTTCACCTATATAAGTCTGGATGGAGTAGTGATGGGTGTGTACAGTGCACATTTGCATAATTTTTGATTAAAAAAAAAAAGTGAAAAAGTCTGAAAGTGTAAAAGTCTGAAAGTGTATGTCTGATAGGTCGTGGAAGCTTCATAGCCTCAGCGAGTCCGCTCCTCAACGGTTTGATTGAAAAAACAATGGAAGAGGTGAAACACAACTTAGTGGTGAAACAACTGTTGTGCAAACAAAAGCAGGCTGCGCTGATTTACAACTTTTCTCCTTCATGCAGGTGAACATGCCTTTTGGATCTCAGACCATGTATAAAATGATGGGAGGAAACAACTGGGAGGCCAAAGTGTAAGTTGGAAACGAGTATTATCGTAAGAAATGTAAATAAACTGAATTTATTAAATTTAAATAGCAGCTGGAAGTAAAAGATGTCCTGCAGTACTAAAATGACAAATTATGTCAGTCTTATGATTTGTTGTGGCCACCACGATATGAGAAAATACAAACTTTTTATCAGAAAAATCAACCTTTACCTATTTTTTACTTAAACGAATAGACTTAAATGAAAAATGTTCGTGCATTGAATCTAAAACTGGTATTTTAGATGGGCTTTTGACAATCCAATGAGAAGTGTCTGCATGTCCTAGTCTGTGTTAAACTCAACTGTTAAAACAAGTCAAAGCTACTTTTCTGCTAAATTTATTTGTAAATTGACAAAAGTTTTCAAGCCTGGAATGTTTTGTTTGTTACAAAAATGAAGCAGGAACTTCCATCCATCCATCCATTTTCTTTACCCGTTTATTCCATTTTGGGTCACGGGGGTCGCTGGTGCCCATGTCCAGCAATCACTGTGCGAGGGGCGGGGTACACCCTGGACGGGTCGCAAGTCCATCACAGGGCCACATAGAGACAAACGAGACAAACAACCATTCACTCTCTCACTCACACCTAGGGACAATTTAGAGTTACCAATCAGCCTAACATGCATGTTTTTGGTCTGTGGGAGGAAACCGGAGTACCCGGAGAAAACCCACGCATGCACGGAGAGAACATGCAAACTCCACCCAGAAAGGCTCCTGGACCGGGGTTTGAACCAGGAACCTGTTCGCTGAGAGGCAGCAGCTCTACCAGTTGCGCCACCGTGCTGCCCCAAGCAGGAACTTAAATACTGGAATTTAAATACAGTATTACTGTTTGTGTTGGGTTCACGCTCGGTGAGAAGTAAAGCTTGCACTTGCTGGCGTAGTTGTGAGGTATTGTTCCATACTCCTCAAGAAACCACGTCAAAGAAGTCCTGGGAAGCTCTGTCCACCTGAGGTCTCCACTCTTCCTTCCCTGTACAGATCTTTGCTTCCCTTACAGTGACCAGACATTTTTATTATGCAGACTCTGTTTAACATTTGCAAAGTTTCTGACATACATTACACAATAATGAGCGAAGGTACAGTATATCTCCTTCCATGAGTTCTACAATGGTTATATATTTTATTTGACGATCTTTCTTAGTTTTGCTGAAACATTTGTAAAGAAGGCTGTATTTAACAGCCTCAGCCCTGCAGCTCCTTGGAGGAGCAAATGAAGCAAAATGAGAGCGTTGTTGTACACACTTTTCCCATGACCCGATTTTTATTTTTTTTGTTTGTTTGGTCACGTAACTACGTCAGCAAGAGCAGATGTATTCTAATTGTGTATGAATACAGTTTCAGCTTGCCCCTGAGCACATTTTCTTTTACACTGTAAGATTTTGGCTACATTTGCAGCTTTTTACATTCAACACAACCTTTTTAGAAGTAGCCTAACCAATCAGGATGTCTGTTTGTTCTTTTTAACAAGTATTTCAGGAATTTTGTTTATAGAAGGTGGTATTGAATACCAACAAAGTTCTGGTCCTTTTAACAAGAAACATTTGTGCTCCATACAGACTCAGGCCAATGTCAATGGATGACCCTGCCTATCCATTCCTGGCTTTCTCTGGAATTCCCTCCATCTCTTTCCACTTCATCTCAGTGAATGTGAGTTTTCATTCAAGACATGTTTTTTTTAATAAACATTTTATTCGATTCAATTTATATAGCGCCAAGTTGCAACAGAAGTCCTCTCAAAGCATTGAACAGAAACATTCATTCACATAAAAAAAAAAAAAGATTGGTAAAAGTTCTCTATCTAAAGAAGCGGCAGATTGCGATGAATTTTCACTTTGTCTCAGTCTCCCATCCTGAGCAAGCACAAAGGCAACAAAGGAAAGGGGGAAAAACTACAATTTTAACAGGAAGAAACCTCCAGCAGAACCAGGCTCAGGACGAGTGGCCATCTGCTTCGACCAGCTGGGGTTTGAGAGGACAGGAAGGAGAAACAAACATAGGATGACGGGCCCAGATGTACCCCCATAGGAAGAAAGACAAAACGCATCTTAATGATATAAATAATTACAAAGTAAAGACGGCAGCAGAGTGTGGAAAAGTGGTCAGTTTGTCCTCCAGCAGTCTAAGCCTATAGCAGCATATGTAAGGGATATCTCAGGAAACTCAAGCCAACCCTAACTATAGGATTTAACAAAAAGGAAAGTCTTATGTCCAGTTTTAAAACTGGACAATGCGTCAGCCTCACGGACAGAAACTGGAACTTGGTTCCACAAGAGAGGAGCCTGATAATTGAAAAGATCTTCTTCCCGTTCTGCTTTTGGAAACTAGGAACCACAAGTAAACCTGCAGTCTGAGAGTGAAGTGCTCTGTTGGGAAAATATGGAAGTTTAGTTAGAAGTTTGTTTTTCAAGCTTATGACATTTCTTTTGGATTTGTCTTAAGTTTTTTGGCAACTGATTCCATCAGACTTGATGCAGTGTCACTGTTTATTGAACTCTCCTGTGTTTGGTTTTTTAAGACCGAGTCATATGCTTACTACGGCACCAACCTGGACAGCAAAGACAACCTCAATTACCAAACCAACAAACGCACCAGTGATGTTATGGTGACGGCAGCCCAGTTCGCTGGTCAAATGGCTTTACGATTGGTCCACGACAACCTGTTGAGCCTGGACGTGAGTCGGTACAGCAGCCCCATCACCAGAGCTGTGGCCAAAATTTACAAGCGCATCAATCAGCTCTCACAGGTCAGACTCTTTCTTACACTTGGCACATTTTTATTGTTACGTTTTTAAAGTAGGTTTATTTTTTAAATTTAAAATATTAATAAGAAAATATTCCTTTAGAAATGCGCTCATATTTTTTATTTTTGTCCAATAGTCTGGTGACCTGAAGGGCATTAGTCCCAACTGGCTGAATCTAGCTCGAGGTTCATACCAGCGAGCAGCTGACAAAATCAACAAAGCCATCGACAACACAGACGTATCTGATCGAGAGGCCTGCCGGATCCTCAACGACAGGATCATGAGGGTAAGATAAGAACTGTGACGTTTTCCATGCTGTCTAGGTTTTCACTTTTATAACATCTGGCCAGCCATAGAAGAGCTGAAAGGCCTTTTTTAACTTTGTCATGAACACAAGTAGTTGGAGACAACAGAAATTTACTCATGGGGAAAGTCTGACAAGAAGATATGATGGCTAGGTGTTTGACTTGTGAAATTTGAACATTTATCTTTGTATTTAAATATTTTGCTGTTTCACTTTGACTGCATTGGGGTAGTATCTCACAGAGCTGCAGCTGTTTGACTCCTTGATGACTTGCAATTGCGATCAGAAAGTCGTGCATCTACATTATGAGCAACCAGTTTTTGTAAATTTGTGTGCATCACATGCAGACCTTTATTCTAGGCCGTATGCATTATTTTCTATACACACCCCGGTCCACTTTGTAACCCCGTTTTTCCCCTACCATTATATAAGCGGGGTGCCCCGTCAACAGAACAAAGCGCCCCTCCTGTCTGTAATGATATAGCGTGGGGCGCAATACAAACGTGCTGGCAAAAGTGCTACTGATGTACCACTCTGCTTCCCCCGGTTGATAAAAACCAGTTGCAACGTAGCGCTAAGCTAACGGGCGTGCAACACAGACGTGTCTCCCTCCCGTCGACAAAAACAATTAAAAAAAAAATACGAGTGCCCTGCCAAGGGAACTGATCTTGGGGAACACTGTACCCACTTCAGCATGTCTTGGTCATTTGTGTGATTTATAAACCTGGAGATTAGCGTCTAATGTTTCTGTCAGAAGAAAAGCCGTGCGGCAGTCTAAAGCTGTAGGACCCTTGAGATGAGTTTGAGACACCCACAACAAAATTGAGACTGGTTTGAATCACCTTTGAAAACTCTAAAACTATTTTGAGAGGTTTTTTTTGTATATATTTTTTTAAATAAATTTTAAACTTAGAGCGACAATTCTTAAACAAAAGTGGACATTTCTAAACATTTTAGAGATTTTTCTGTGACTGTAATTTGCCAACGAATCAGTCAGTCCTGTGAGGTA